TTTACACTTGCACCAGAACTTGATGAGGAATACACTTTCTTGGAAGTCATAGTATATTATGATTATTCCGTGAACCCTGGTCCTTTTCGAAAGTCCTTGTTAGATCATGTACAGCCGCACATTTCTGAAATAAAACAAAACGATGAGTTATTTTGTCGGGTTGCAATGGTAGCTATTATCTTAAATTTCCACGATCTAGAAATGTTTGACATGATTCTCACGAGGCTTACACTTACCGTTTCTTTTAAACACTTTTAGAAATTGCTGAGGTTGTCATATGATTTGAAAAGTCTATTGTTTATTTTGAACGATGTTATAGGATTCGATGAACGTCTAAAACTCATGGTTGAAAAGAGAATTAGGGAGTTTATCGGGCATGATAACCTTTTTCAGCTATGTAGACACCTCCAAGAGTTTCGCAACGAAAGCCGATTTGACACAAAGATTATATTTCGCGAAAGACTCTTAAAATTACTACAATGTCGGGACACACTGTGGGAAAATTATGAAATCGTATCTTTGAATGACATCCTTCAGGAACAAGATCTTAATTGGCCAATCGAAGATCTAATGAAGATACTCGAGTATGTGGCGTCTTCGGATCAACTATCATTGTTGCAGAATTTTCTCGTAATTTTGAAATTTACATTGGGTCAAGTTCGAGACTCTAAGTCAACCCTCATAAATAAAGCTTTAGCTACCTCATATACGTGGCTTCCAAAACTAACCACACTTCTCACTTCGAAAGGCAATGACCCGTCCATATTAGCAAAAAACATTGCATTTGTTACACTCGCAAATTTTTCCTCTGTGTATGCAATGGTTAAAGATTGGTCACATATTTATGAAGAATTGAAGAAGATTGTGAACAAGTTATTAGATCCCCTATCTAATTATGTTGTTTTCGAGGTAGCTTCTTTTATCGATAGTTTCGAACCTGATGTTATAGAACACTATGTCACTTTGGCGAAGGTTAGATTAGATCACGATGTACGGAATATCAACGATCACCTTTTGAAGGATATAATGCTCATATGCGACTCCACAAGGCTACTTCATATAAGAAATTGGTTTGTACTGTATTATTGATGTCACCGTTTTCAATTTGATGTAAATGTCAAAAAGAAATTTTTTTTTCCAATTTAGGATCTGCGAAGATTTACTTTATCACATATTTGATTGCTTGCAAAAAAATGCATTCGAAAGATTCTACACCGAGGATACTTACAATCTCCAGATTTCAGTACTGGAATCTTCATATTTCTGGAAGACCATATTCCTCTCAATAGGAAGTACGGAAAAACTTTTCTCACATCCGTTTGTCAAAGAAACAAGAAATATCTTAATAAATCTGGCCACGGAAATTACAGAAAACTCCATAACTATTGGATTGCTGGAGGGTATGCTTAGAATTTACTCAAATGACGAAAATATTTTTATTGACCTCGTCAATTCAGCTGTTGGAGATCAAGTTGAACTCATGATGACGGATAATATACTAAACACACTTCGCCACATATGTGTCACCTACACTACGAAATTTTCTCGACTCGAAAATTTTTACACGAAATTTTGTTCCTCCTACCAGGTAGCCGATTATCAGAAATACATAAGTGATTTGAAAAATCGAAAAGAGATGATAAATAATACCACAATTAAAAATTTATTTTCCGATAATCATTGGGGAATGCATATTGAAGCAATTTCGGCCACGAATGTGGCTTTCAAATTTTTTGAATCAAGAACGTTTGAAAACGTTTATAGACTTACCTTGGAATCAAAAACGAGTGAATTAAATGTTAAAGTTGTTACCAAAGAGATTATCAGAAATGCAATTGACGATTATACTAAAGCTTGCCAAGAATACAAAAACTGGAAAAAACTTAAATATCAGGAAGTCAAATATTTCTGGAGTGAAATAAAACCCGAGCACGTTGATACTGAATTGGAATTTTTACTTTCCAATTGCAACATTATCAAAGGTACTGAGCATGAAAAAAAACTGTCCACTACAATCGAACATTTGGTGGAAATCCCAGTGTGGAGTATTCGAATGGAACATTTGATTGAGATGCTAGAAATTTTCGAATATCCTATTGTCCATAAATTCGGGCCGAATGAATTATTAAAAAAGTTAAAAGACGATAATTTAATTCTCGAGAAACTAATCCCCATGTTAAAAGACCTAAAGAATTCTATAGATCACCACAAGGTATCGAACAACACCTGGAATGCCATGACGGAAATATTGGCATCTCGTGATTTTATCATATTTCTCAGGTCTTTGGTTGGTCATGATTTGAAAAATTTGATTAACGGTGTAGATGATCATTCAGATGAAAGATTAATGCAAGCAGATACTGTGTCCACCTTTATTCAAGTTAAATCAATCTTGGAACCGCTCTTAGATAGAGGATCTAAGGATTCTTCTAACAATTCGATAAATGAATTCTTGTTGAAATTTTTGAAGGTTACAGAGGGTAACCCATTACTAGTCAGCAAAGTAAGGCTCTGCAACTCAAATCACCAGGCATTGAAGAATATGTATGAAGTAAGTTAAATTATATTTCTTTTGAATTGAAATGAAATCGTTAAAAATATGATTAAACTTTCGAACGGATAGAACCTTTCAAAACGTGGGGAGATAACAAAACAACGAATCAAGAATTGTGTCGTAAAAGGAACGTACGAGTTCACGAGTTCGGAAACTGACGAACAAAGTTGCACAGCGAAACTATCGTATCCTAGCAATAAACCCGACAGAACTTTGATGACATACAGGTAATTGGTTAAGTGACGCTCTTTAATTTCTCCAGTACGAAATTGCTGATTACAGTATCGTGAACAGTTTTTCAGATTTGCAAGATTTAAGGGGACGCGCCCTTTTAATTGCGAAGGCACCTGTTACAGCGAAAACGACCGATGATGATAATTGTAAAACCGACGAGATTACGGCGGATGACATGAATGAATTTGTCATTCAAGTTGATCTCGCACTTCAAATCATTAACGTCGCATCTGCTTTGATCGAACGACATTTCACATATCGAAGATTTAAGGTTTCAACTTCTTCCACAAATGATATGGTAAAGCTATTTAAAATTTTAACGGCTGACCTACAGGAATGGGAAGAAATTGTGAATGTGGCACAGAAAGAACATTACTACTTAACTTTTTATCCGGCTCGTCACATTTTAAGTTTTTATGACTACTTCTTCTTTAAAGACAAAGATGATCGTAAAATGGATGTTATCAAGGATAGATGCGAAAAACTTTTACGATTTGTGAGTGATGAAGCCGAGCTGCCATCTCCCGGAGAGTTTGGTGAACATGTTTCTCGCGAAGATAACTTTTTGGAAATTTTACAAGTTATCGGAAACATTTTAAATCGCTTGTTCAGCAATGTCCCACCACGAAGGCGGTTGATCACAAAGGAGATCGAAAGGATTGCTTCCAATTTAGTAAAACCAGGTCAACTCTATGTTGCTGCTTGTAACGATGAATTTAGTGTGCCTAATATCATCATGAGCTTATTTTCAAATTATGACTACTATCCGGAACCTTGGCAAATTTTAATATGCAAAGCGTCAACTAAATTAGAGGAATTAATAACTTTTACCAAGCGATGCTTCTTTGCTTTTAGGAACGGGTATGGAAAATATCTATTTTGCATTGCCAACGTAGAAATTCTCGAATTCGAACTCCAGTACCAATTGGTCAACAGCATTCGTTCACTTTCTTTGTTAGAAAAGAAATTTCATATAGCCTTAATATGTTGTCGTCGAGAAAAAGAAATGCACCACCACATCCTCGAACAATTCCATCGAAATGTTCATTTCGTCACCAAAGGGCTAGGTGCTGAATCCATGAATAGAATCTATCAGGAATTGTGTCCAAATGTGAAATGCGTTTCATCAGATTTATCCGGACAGGGAAAAACTGAGTGGATAAGGAAAGTTAGTTATCAGGGAAGATGGATCCCACGGAGTTTATTAATAAGTGATGGTGTTAGATTTACAAGCCTTGTTCGTCTATTATCCGAACTCAAACTCAAAACATTTGAGAGCCTTCATATGAACATTGTATTAATAGATCATGCTTACGACGTAAACATGTTATTGTTTGAGTTACTCAGTTTGGGAATGGCATCCAACGGAAACGACATAGTGTGTTTACCGTCCACTTTAATTTTTATCGAAGTCGCTTCTACCTTGAATCAATATCTTCTCAACTCTCTACCTCTAACTGGTTATTTGTCAAGACATCATATTTCATGGAACATAAATGAATTAATTGTATCCCAGCAATATAATAGTCAAATTCAAATAGTTTCAAGGTACTTGGATGCATATGATCGTGATGTAATTGATCAGACGAACATACTTTTTAACAAATCGCAAGCGGCTGAGATCATCCTTCCTCCTGAACGTTGCCAACAATTGCTTCAAAAATACTTCTTTGATAAGAAAGCCAAAGATGTTGCATCGTTTCGATTCCTTGAAATATTTCTTGAAATGTTTGCTGATCAATTGGTTCGAATGTCGAAGAGTACCTTCTTTCGAGTTGAAGAACTGGAATTGATGGTCAGCGATCAGAATATTAGGAAAACCCTATTGGAAACTTTACTGACCATATCTATGGAATTTGCTACGAGGTCAATTGACACTAAAGCTGAACAAATGAAAAATTTATTTGATGACAAGAATGCGGCTCTTGGAACTATAAAACCCTGGGAAGATTCTAATCATCTGCTAGTGGTGTTTTTATCACAAACTCCAGACTCAATATGTGCTCTGTACAGGAGTAAAGATTTGGTGCCTGAAAACGTGGTAGGCTTGTTAAGAAGCCAACATGTGACATGCACAAATTTTTCGTTAGAGGATTTTGAACAAATGTCCTCCAAAGACATTTTGAGAAAGCTGGAGTGCCTCGCAAGAACTACGCTCGAAAAACAAGAATATCCCCCATACGCTTTATCGGTCGAAAATTTACTGAAAATGACATTAATTCTTTTGAGAACTCGTGCCTGTATTCCCGTAGTCGTTTGTGGTGAGGCCGGATGTGGAAAGGTTAGTGTTGTGTAATTATTTTATTGTCGAAGGACAAAGGGTTAAATTTTCATGCCTATTTGAATTTTAGACAAGTTTGATTAAATTCTTAGCTTTGATGGTTAAAGTTGAGTTTAGGGCGCTCAACCTGCATGCTGGCGTAAGAGAAAAAGATATTTTGAAATTCATGAGCGAGAGTGAAAAAGTCGCAGAGAATGGACAGGTCTGGTTATTCTTCGATGAAATTAACACTTGCAATCATATTGGTCTCCTCGCTGACCTCATCGCCCATCGAATTCTACTTGGAAACCCAATACACTACAACATACGAGTGTTTGCCGCCTGCAACCCCTACCGCATCCGTACAAAGAGTCAATGTGAAGCTGGTCTTGAAACCAGAAGATATGAAGAACAAAATAGACTTGCCTATCAAGTGCATCCTCTCCCTGATCGAATTCTTGACTACGTTTGGGATTATGGTGTGTTGAGACCATCAGACGAAAAAGTCTACATCAAAATTATGGTCCAAAAGCGCTTGGAAAATTTAGAAAAGAAGGAAGCTGCAAAATTTTCCGAGCTTCTATTCTGCTCACAAGAGTTTATCCGAAAACAAGAAGGAAAACATAGCGTTAGTTTGCGGGACGTTAAACGAGCGTTAAAGATATTTGAATTCTTTTTAACGAGTAGGAATGAACGTCACGAGAACAAAAAATCCTTTTTACCGAGTGTTAATAAACTACACAAGAACAAAGATGTTCGAACAGATAAACAACTTTTAAAATCTTACATTTTGTCTTTAAGTCTCTGTTATCAAGCGCGATTTTACGAT